GTGGGCAACTGAAATGATCAAGGGTCTGGAGAACAAGCCCTAGGGGGAGTGGCTTAAAGAGCTGGGCATGTTTAGCCTTCGGAAGAGAAGTATGAGAGGAGACATGATGGCCATGTAAGCCAGATGTTTGTAATTTGAGGACTGCCTGTATTAACAGACTTCTGTTATGTTTACCATTGTGTCTGTTACTGTTAAGGTTTGGCAGAGGTTTAGGCTACTTTTACTACAGTGAAGCTACTGGACAATGTATCTACTGGACACAGTGATGGTCCATATAGGGCAGGCATGGGCAAACTTTGGAACTCCAGGTGTTTTGGACTTCAACTCCTAACAATTCCTAACAGCCTCAGGCCCCTTCCTTTTCCCCCTCAGCCACTTAAGCCCACTTAAGTTTGCCCATGCCTGATATAGGGGTTACCTATGGAGAGGTTTTGAAGGGAAACAAGGGCAAAGTGAGTGACAGAAGTCCAAGGGGCCAATTCGGAAAAGGAATCTTCACAACACCATTCTATTTTTATGAAAAGCCCATGACATCTTGTTTATTGCGTGTGTGTGTGTGTGTGTGTGATCCGATAAAATACTTTATAATAAGGGGCACTTGCCAGCCCTAAAAGGGCTGAAAATAACAACAAACTTTCTGGCTCTAAAATAACAGTGGTTCTCAACCTTCAGCATGCTGTGACCCCTAAATACAGTTCCTCATGTTTTGGTGACCCTCAACCATAAAATTATTTTCTTTGCTACTTCATAACTGTAACTTTGCTACTGTTATGAATCATACTGTTAGTATCTGATATGCAGGATGTATTTTCGTTCACTGGACCAAATTTGGCACAAATACCCAATATACCAAAATGTGAATAGTGGTGGGGTGGGGGGGGGGGGAGTTTGATGTTGTCATTTGGCAGTTGCATTTGCTGGGATTTATAGTTAACCTACAATCAAAGAGCATTCTGAACTCCACCAACTATGAAATTGAACCAGACTTGGCACAAAGAACTCCCGTGACCAACAGAAAATACTGGAAAGACTTGGTGGGCAATGACCTTTAGTTTTGAGTTGTAGTTCACCTACATCCAGAGAGCACTGTGGACTCAAACAATCATGGATCTGGACCAAACTTGGCACAGATACTCAATATGCCCAAATGTGAACACTGGTGGAGTTTGGGGAAGTAGACGTTGACATTTGGGAGATGTAATTACTGGGATTTATAGTTCACTTACAACCAAAGAGCATTCTGAACCCCACCAATGATAGAACTGGGCCGAATTTCCCACACAGAACCCTCATGACCAACAGAAAATGCTGTTTTCTGATGGTCTTTGGCGACTTATTTTTCTATTAGTATATGTGTCTAGGAAAAACAAAATGTCATTGTGTGTGTATATATGTGCAAATGAATACTGAAAGTAATTTTCTTATTCCTGTTGTAAACCTAACACAAGGATATGTAGAGAATTGCACACAGTTATTTTTACTGGGCTTATTTTCAGAAAAGTCACCTGGGGGAAATCAACACCTAGTGCCAACATTACCCTAATATGGGAAGGGAGCAAAGATTAATTGAGGACGACATGCTTATGGTAGCCTGTGAAATTTCACCTGCCAGTCGATATAAAAAGATACACAGTAGGTTGAATTTTGTACAAAGATATGCCATCTAGTGGTAAAAACAATGTTTCCAATCTTCTTTTCTTTTAGTGAAGCCTAGAAAGAGAGCCTGTAGAGTAGAGGAACAAGAATTCAATAGACTCTGCACTCATGTTTCCACTTTGTTAGGAAGCTGCTAAACCAGGCATGGCCAATCTTTGGCCCTCCAGGTGTTTTGGTCTTCAACTCCCTCCATTCCTGAGGGGGAAAAGGAAGGGGCCTGAGCCGTCAGGAATTGTGGAAGTCGAAGTCCAAAACACCAGGAGAGCCAAAGTTTACCCATGCCTGCTCTAAACCTATAGACCCTGTCTTTAAACTGGAGATGCCAAAACATGTATTTTACAATTATTATTATTATTATTATTATTATTATTATTATTATTATTATTATTATTATTATTAGAAACACAACAAGATTAGGACACAGTAAACAAGATCACTATGCTGGTTGTTGTATTGGATCACACACTGGACACTTCCCAAGTGTCTAGGACGATGTGATGTATCAGCAAATAATGCGTGCCGATCCCAGTAAGGTGGCCTTTTGCAGCTGACAGATGATAATTTTGTCAGCGCCAATTGTGGGGACCACCTTGACTGGCTTGTACCAGAGTCTTTGCAGTTCGACCTTTAAATCCTTGTATCATGTCAGCTTTTCTAGTTTTTCTTTCTTTCTTCAATCCTGCTGTCACCTGGGATTGCAACATTGACGATCCATACTGGGTTTTTTAGCATGATCGCGAGGATAGGAGTATTGTGCTCCAAAACTCTGTCAGTCTGAATTCGGAAGTCCCAGAGTAGCTTGCTGTGTTCATTTTCTGTAACCTTTTCAGGATTGTGATCCCACAAGTACTTTGTCACAGGCAGATGGTATTTGTGGAACAAGTTCCATTGAATCATGTGAGCAACGGTGTTATATCTCTGCTTGTAGTCTGTCTGCGTGATCTTCTTGCAGCAGCTGAGGATGTGATCTGTTGTTTCATCTGCTTCCTTGCAGAGTCTACACTTGGGATTATTATTATTATGATTATGATTATTATTATTATTACCTCGCATTTTCTCTCCACAAGAAGACTCAGTTTACCCCCAAATGCTTAGCTAAAATTAAATTAGTACTTCCTCTATTCAGAAGAGCCTGGAAGTAACCAGTTACACACCATTTCATATCAATTTCTTTTTCCAGATACGAAGATAAACTATACACACACACACACACACACACGTGTATGAGTCTAGAAATTTTAGTAAAAAATTGACCCCCCCCCCCAAACTTATCCATGGCTAATGAAAGTATGGTACTTTACCTCTTATATATATGAAAAAGAAGCATCTTCTTCTCCAAGTCAACTGTCAAAAGCCAAGAACTTTGAACCAGGAGAACCCCAAATAAATACTTACTTCATGTACTTATTACTTTTTATTACTTTTGCCACCACATGCTAGTTCTTGTCTTTTTAATACCTAGGAAAATAGTGGCCACTATTTTCCACCTTCACAGAATGACCCTTGACTTATCCGTGGGTCATGGCAAAATCCATAATTTTGGTCCCCAAACTAATACATGACTAATACATGAGGTTAATTTACAGAACAGTATACGGGCAGTCCCTGAATTATAAACATCCAATTTACAAATGACTCAGAGTTAAGAACAGGGGTGTGACAACAGGAAGTGAGATAACTCTATCCCTTGGAAGGGAAATTCACTCCTGAAAGAGTGATTACAGGGAAAAGGTGTCTATACTGAAGTTTTTTCTCTCTCCAGTCCTTGTTTCCACAACAAGCAACATTCTTCCAAATCCAGTTATCACAGGGACAGAAAGTGAGGTGAAATCTTCTGGAGAGGGGCACAGACAGCAAAACCAACACCACAAGGGTGTTAACCCTTTCCTATGCTATTGAAAGTTGCTATCATAACTTGGGGACTGCCTATATACAATTGTTATATTATGGGGTTTTTTTCCATGTTGGGAGCGACTTGAAAAACTGCAAGTCGCTTTTGGTGTGAGAGAATTGGCCATCTGCAAGGACGCTGCCCAGGGGATGTCTGGATGTTTTACCATCCTGTGGGAGGCTTCTCTCATGTCCCTGCATGAGAAGCTGGAGCTGACAGATGGGAGCTCACCCTGCTCCCTGGATTCAAACTGCCAACCTTTCAGTCAGCAGTCCTGCTGGGACAAGGATTTAACCCATTGCACCACTGGAGGCTCATGTTAAATTATGATGATTAACAATGAGTGCTAATATCTCTCCTTTTGCAACTTAATAGTGAGAGTTTATTGTTTCCTTGGTTATCCAATGTAGCTTCTTTGATTGGCAGAGGAAGAATATCAGCCAGGTCAAGCCCTAGTTTATTCTGCTGCCGCGAGCTTTGTTGCGAGTGTTGAGGCACCAACAAGGTGAACAAGAAGAGACTTCTGTGTTTACCAGCCCAGTGACTTGGTGTTGGGCTTCCTACAGGAATATTAGCAGGATTGGAGTGTTTTGGAAGAGACTCATCACAGCGGCAGCTCAGTTAGTCCAGCCCCAGCTATTTGCATTCAACCATCAGACTTCCCTAGATAATGCAGGCAGCAACTGGTCTAGGGTTGTTGAAAACAACTCACTTGGCGTGAGACATCAAAACCAGCTCAAAGAGGGTTCTGTTCTTGAATCAAGACTACTCTTCACACTCTCTCACCTCATTGGTTTTTATTCTCCAAGCTCCTGACTGATACCCTGAGTCTTGATCTCTGGACTGCTCGTCAACTACATGGCTTCTTAGTTGTATGATACTTACAGCATTTGTATATTTGCTTTTTAAAAGTAACTATCTCAGTTTTTGAGAAATGGTAAACTTAAACAATATTTTAAAATTGCAATTATTATAATGGTTACCTACTTCTTTTGTGGCCTCAGAATAACAATATCTCAATATATTTCAAAGCAAAGATGAGAAACTATTGGGGGTGAGGAGGTTGGAGGGGGCTGTACCCCTCCAGACCCCCAACCAACAAAACACAAATCCCACAGAATTTTTTGCTCCAAAATGCTCCTTTAGGGGGTGTTGGAAGGGCCGTGAAAAGCACAAAATGTGTTTGGGGAAGTCCATGCGGCCCAAGAGAATGCCCTCTCATCCACTAAACAGCTCCAGCAGCAGCTACAAGCTATAAGGAAGCTCTCTTAAAAATAAACTAGCTAAATAAATAGATACAACTAAAAATAAATACATAAATTGCAGTCAAACCAGCAGATATGCAGCATTGTCATTGTTGGAAGAAGGTTAACACAGTTGCTAACACATGTCTAAAGGGCAGTGTTGGAAGAAGTGCCGCAGGGGCCTTGGGAATCCACCGATGGTGGCCTCCTTCGTCTGAACGGCTACCAGAGCCTAACAATCCAGCAGACTCAGGAGGCAAGGTGGCATGGAGCCAGGAGACTCTATCCTCACAAGGCTGCTGGGCCCAATGGTGTACGTGATTTCATTCTCAGCCACCCCTGGAGGCAAGCAAATCTCCTTGGTGATTGTGGAGTAATTGTATTCCTTCCCTCGCGAGGTCTTGAATTCTTCTTCATGTTCCGCCGAAACTTTAACCTTCCCATCTTGAATTTTCACCGTGATATCATCTGGATCAAACCCCTTGACGTCCATTAAAGCTAACAGCTTTGGGCGATTACATGTTGACAGCATTTTAGTAACCCTTCTTCGAATCCTGAAATGTTTGGAAAAGAAAAGAGGATACCAGTATAAGGTTTAAGTATGAATCCCACCTACGGAATGCAATGTGAAAATCAGGTCTGATGATTAAGGACCTCATCACATTGAGGTCAGTAAGCTGTGCGATTGCAGGGGGATTCACCATGGATTGTGGCAAATTAGCCGGGGTGTGTGGGGAACCTGTCATCCTACATCACCCGCATTGCCGTTGACCTCATCTCAAGGCGGGAAGCGTTGCCGGCTGACTCCCCGCCCCATTCTTCTCTATGGACCACGGGAAGCCTCCCGTGTTCCCAGTGCTGCCTCTTACGACAGTTCGAACTCACTTCAGGCATAAAACCCCACGTGATGTAGATGTACATCATGTGATGGGATCCAGTGGTCTTTGTGCCTGGAGTGAGGTCGAATTTAAGTAGGGCGGGCAATTTTGCATGTGTGATGAGTTTGTAAATGACATGATGCTATGCTGAACTGTGAAGGCAAGTTGCTTTTATTCAGTAATTCATACTATTTAATCTCCACCCAGCCTAACTAGAAGGTTGGTCAGTAAGTGACAAAGGCCCCATCTACACTGTCATGTAATCTGATTTCTGAATCCAGGTTATCTGCTTTGAACTGAATTATATGGCAGTGTAGACTCATATCATCCAGTTCAAAGCAGATAATCTAGATTCAGAAACTGGATTAGGTGGTAGTGTAGCGCCATTCAAAGTGGCTATTGCAGTAATTCTCAACTTCTTGTGAGGTTTCTGGATTTCAGCTCCCAGAAACTTCAGCTGCCTTGGCCATTGATCAGGGATTCTGGGAGCTCAAATCCACATCCCCTGGAAAATCAGAGTTTGGGAAACAGTGAGGGTCGACCCAGACAGGCCTATATCCCTGGACCTGTGTGAGTTATCGAAGGCATCCAAATGATGTCTCCAGTAAAAACAAATTAATTAGTTTTTTCTGAATTCATAAAATACCTGGCAAGATCTGGATCTTTCAGGCTCCAGCAGCCCAAAAAACTGAGATGGCTATGTGAGTTGGGTCCAGGAATCGTGTGGCGCCATCCCATTGCCAAGGCTTATACCTGGTAAGATCTAGATAAGATCCAGATCTTATCAGGTGCGGGCCTTGGTAATGGGATGGCACCGCGCGATTCCTGGACCCAACTCACATAGCCATCTCAGTGTTTTGGGCTCCTGGAGCCTGAAAGACTGAGAGGTAACCCAACCTCTCACCCCAGGCATGTAGCCGGGGGGGGGGGGGGGGGGGGGGCTTCAGCCCCCCCCCGAAATTCTCATGGTGGTTCGCGAAAAGGCCTTACTGGTGCATTATTTAAACTGTTATGTTTATTCATATCATGATCTGATCACCATACTCAATATATCCCATATGCATGGGGGTATTGGGGTAATGATACAAAAGGTTTGCTAGGCTAGACCCTCTTTCACTCAGACTCAGCCCCCCCCGAAACTCAGCCCCCCCGAAACCCCCCCTGAAAATTTTTTAGCCCCCCCCCCCCGAAACGAAATCCTGGCTACGGGCCTGTCTCACCCCAAACCCAGAATTTTCCCCTAAAAATACAGTAAAACCTATCTGACTGCCCTAACCTTTTTCCTTGTGCCCTCCTGGCATGAGGAAATGATGCACCAGGAGATGCGGGGAGGGCGAGGAGGAAACTTATGGGGGCCAAGTAAGTTTTACCTAATTTTTAGGGGGAAATTGGGGAGCTTCAGGGTGGCTATATGCTATCCCAATTTTAATCATGTTGGCATGTAGCCAGCCACTCCCACCCAGGAAATCTTGGTTTTTTTGGGGGGGGGGGGAGTGGAGATGGGAATCTATGCCAAAGAGGGTTTTTAAAACCTGTTTTGGCATAGATTTTGGTGTTGTCTGTAAGAACCCTGAGCTATTTCTACCATCAACAGAACAATAATTAGGAATAACTGTGATRGGAATCCGTCGAGGGACTGCCTGTGAAAGCATCTGTCTTTGGGGGTCCTCAACCATTTCCATTAAAAGTACTTGACAAGGCACCTAACAACAAAGTGCATATAAAATACCAAGAATTAATGCACAGAAACACATAAAACAAAACACAGCAGCTGAAACTCTGTATCAGGGCAGATTAGTATAAATCTCCACACAAAGACATGTGGATTCAATGAGAAATTGAACCAAAAAATGCAGAATTGAATCTAAATGCTCATGTGCATCCATGTGCAATGTGTATGAGCATCTATGTGAAATGTACACCTGTGTATAAGAATGGCACTGTATATACAACTCAGCTTCTCCAACCTTGAACTCAATATAGCCATTCCACTTTGGACAAAAATATCCAACTGCTTGGGAAGAACATTTTGTTGGTTTAAAACAACGTCAACATCCCAACCTCAAGTTAAAGAAAAATCTGTAAGAAAAAAGGATGCCAGAATAAGCATAGACCAGAATGAACAGATTACAGTAATTTTATTTTGAATTATATGTTTGAGTGGGAGAAGAATGCAAGGTACTTTTTCCCAAACAAAATGTAATATTACTCTACCTTGAGGAGGAGGGGAACAATATGTGTGTGTGTGACATTTTCCTTGCTATATTCTGCTATATTCTGGCCTCATCCAAACTTTTTGCTCCATGACAGGCAGATGCTGCTGTGGATGAGCATTATGTGCAAAGCACAGAAGAGAGGGAGGGAGAAGTAGGAAAAGGAAGTCTGCAGTTTGCAGCCTTGTGATGCAGAGACATGGTTTTGAAAGGAAGCTGCAGAGTGAAAGAGAAAGAGAGCGGACACACAGAGAGACCAAAGACAGAACACAGAGGCACACAGAGATGGCATCACGCCAGACGAGAGGCACATGGAACAATAAAGGCAGCACAAGAAAGAGGAAAAAGACAAAAAGAAGCATAGAAACAAAAGAGTGTCATAACTGGAGAGTGGAAAGTGACTTATTGCACTACCTCAACATAGTTACAAGGTGCTTTCAGCAGTCTAAAAACAGGAGTCCCACATCTGTTGAATTGTGCTGGCTTCATCAGCACATATACTAACATTGGAACAATACATAAAAGATTAGCATGGCCCCTGCGCAAGGATGACACGTACATTTGTGAAGTGTTCTATATTGAGACGACTGAACGAATGAACAGCAACAATTAATACAAAAGAAAAAAAATGATATATATATATATGAATTTGCAATTGTGTTTGTAACTATAACTGTATTTGTAATTGAAACCAAAGAAGAAAAACTGTGAAGAAATATCGCAACTGGTTCTGTAATTGTAATGGTTTAGAAAATGTAAATGTTGCAAGCATTGTAAATATTGCAAAACTATGTCTCATTTGATTGTAGTTGTCAGCAAATGTCTTTGTAGTAATTTTTTATTATAATAAACATTACTTATACCACCCCAAACATTACTTATATTCTGCTTGCAAACTGGTTTGAGATGAGTTTGATTTTTTTTCCATGTCAGGAGTGACTTGAGAAACTGCAAGTTGCTTATGTTGTGAGAGGACTGATAGTCAGCAAGGACGTTGCCCAGTGGACACCCGGAAGTTTTACCATCCTTGTGGGAGGCTTCTCTCATGTACCCGAATGGGGAGCTGGAGCTGACAGAGGGAACTCAACCCACTCTCCCCGGATTCGGACCACTGACCTGTCAGTCAGCAGTCCTGCCAGCACAAGAGTTTAACCCATTGTACCACGGGGCAATGATGTTATGGAACGGGGAGTGTTTTGATTCATTTTTAGGGAGCTTCTAATGTGCACCTCAACCCTCATGTGATGATGTCTGATGTGAACTGAGATGGACTAGACAGCCCTTGCAGAACCTTCCAAATTTATGATTTAGTGTTGCACGGACTCTATTTATTTATTCATTTCTACCCTGCCTTTCTCTCAGCCTAATATCGAAAGTAGCTTACAAAATACAAAAGAAAAATCAGAATTGTGTTTTACAAATTAAAAAAAACTCACACACAATTAAATTACAATTTTGTTTAAAAGGGACATGATTTAAAATGGTTTAAATACACTTAAAACATAACTGTATGGAAATGAACCTCACAGGATTTTCTTTACAAGATTTGTTTAGAGGAGGTTTGTCTTTTCCTCTAAGGCTGGGAAAGAGTTTAACAGAAGATCAGCTAGTGGCATTTCCATGAATGAGCAGAGATTCAAATCCTTTGTGAACTTAGGTTATTTTTTTTTGAGGGGTAGAATTTCACTGCAATATTAATGATTCCAAATAGTATGCCCCTGCTCATCATTAGCCCATTACAGACAACAAAATGAACACCACAGGAATGTTAACCCTTCCCTTTGCTATCCAAAGCTAAAATATATTTGGCTGGAGTTACACTTATGATATCACATGGACCTTGAGAAGCATGGAGGACCATCTGTCTAGCGAAGGGAATCATACTTTTCAATCCCCAATAGTCCTGTTTCAAGTTCTGTCTTTCTATCACATCTGTTTCCCTCTTCAATTTCCCCCCAGCATTCCCCTCATTGTTGCCCGTGTTTGCACCATCACATGGAGAATCCTCAAGGAAAACGTCAGTATTGAAAGCCAAGATTACTACAGACCTCATCCCCTTTGCCATGATAAGTCTTCCCCATGCTTCCCTTCCCTTCATTAGACCAGTGTAATTTTAAACCCTTTGGATTCATCCCATCTTGCAAGACTGTGCTTCTCTTCATTAGACCAATGTAATTACAAACCATTTTGCCATGATCCCCTCCTGCTAGGTTTTCCTTCCCTCTAATAGATCAGTGTTATGTTAAAAAGCTAGCAAGAGCACAATTTTGAGCCTAGATTGCTATTAAGGAGAAAATGCAGTTGAATCAAAGTGGTGAGAAACGGCCATTCCTCCATGTCACTGAAATGGGAAAATCTGTCAGATACCATCACATGTTTTTTGGCATTAGCGATGATTCTGGAGTGCACCAGGGCCTCAGAACATGACACTTGCCTGTGTTCTGAACTCCCTCCTTTCAGAATGCTTAATCTCAATTTCAAGGATGAAGGGCAGCGGATGACGGCTGGAAGTAGGCAATTGTAATGTGATGAGCTCCGTGCCTCTTTGTCCTTGAAATGGAGATGAAGTGTCCTACGACAGGGAAACGCTCTGTGTGATGAGGTCCTTAGGAAATGTACCTGTTCTGACTGAAAAACAAATTCAATGTAAGAACAAAACTGCAGAACCCATCTTGTTCGTAACTTGGGGACTGCTTGTATACCAACTCTAATGTCTGACATCAGCAACAAATGTAGTCTTGGGCCTTTCAAGTCAGAGTTTGTTACTTGTACCATTAAAACTTGTGTGCCAGCTGCACCCATATCTTGGGATTCTAGATCTGGCCATGGTAGTACATGCCTTAGTTACATCTCGACTGCACTACTGCAACGCACTCTACGTGGGGCTGCCTTTAAAGAATGCTTGGAAGCTTCTGCTGGTTCAGAAGTCAGCAGCCAGGTTACTAACAGGAGCACCGTACAGGGAGAGAACAACCTCCATGTTACAGCAGGCTCCAGTGGCTTCCAATTTACTACCAGGTGAAATTGAAATGCTGGTCATTACCTTTAAAACCCTAAATGGTTTGGATCCAGACTACCTGACCAAATGCCTCTCCTCATATGAACCTGCCCAGATACTGTGTTCTTCAGGGGAGGCTTTCCTCTTGGTCCCACACATTTTCCCCCATCTGATGAAGGAAAGGGCAATGTGAAAATATGCATTGCTGCCTTTTTCCCCATCTGATGGGGAGAGGGCCCCAATCTACCTTGTCCCGTTGTCCCCATATGATTGGGGGAGGGGGAGGAGTGAGGGCACGTGAGGTGCCACAAAGGGGAGAGGTGTCTGATGAGGTCCTTAAACTGCATCTGTGAAATGGTTGAGCATTGGATTACAACTCTGGAGACCAGGGTTCAAATTCCTACTGAGCCTCACAAACCCAGTGGATGACCTTGGATAAGCCACACTCTTCAGCCTCAAGAGGAAAGCAAAGGCTTCTGAACAAATATTGCTAAGAAAACCCCATGATATATTCACTTTAGAATTGCCATTAGCCAGAAATGATTTGAAGGTACATAACAACAAGAACCTATCATGGTAGAGCTTCATTAACAGCAAACAATACAGATAAAGCAACAATAATTAGTTAATAGAGTGCAGGTAGAGATGGAGAAATGATGAGCAAACTTGCAAAGCTGAAAAGATATAGGGCTGAGAAATTTGAGGTTCAGAAATTGGTAAGAAGAGGATGGGGAAAAAGTTGTGTTTTAAAGCTTTTTTCCAATGGTGCTTTCAACTTGTGTTTTTGAATTTTTTTAACTTTAATTGCATTTTAAATTAGCACATTAACAATTTAAACATTGCATTATGCTTTTAAATTGTTTTACACTGCCTTGGATCCCATGTTGGGAGAAAAGTGAGATATAAAACAAATAGATAGACAATATTTTTAAAAGTAGGGGTAGTGTAGTACTTACCTTAAGCTATATGCATACATATACACACAGAATGAGGGGACTGTCAACATGTGGGGAAAATATTTTCCTCAAAAAACTTATTTTGTGGTGGGGCATGGGGGAATTGCTTCTTCTATGTCCCATTAAAGAGCATTGTACTTGTGGTTGGAGCAGCGTGCAAGATGAAGACAGGCAAACCAGAGTAAGAGAATACATTAATGGGGTTCTCTGGATAAGATATCCAATTCTGGAGGAGACGTAAGGGAGGTGACTTTGACCAAACCCAGTTCTAGGTTTTAGTGATTTTTGCTTGAAAAGCATAAGGCAAAGGCAGTGATTCAGAAGCAAGAAGAAGGCATATTCTCAGGTCTTTGCCAAAGATGGAAGCAAGAAGCAGTTTTTTTAATCATGTCAGAAGTGACTTGAGAAACTGCAAGTTGCTTCTGGTGTGACAGCATTGGCCGTCTGCAGAGACGTTACCCAGGAGACACCTGTGGGAGACTTCTCTCATGTCCTCTCATCAGAAACTGGAGCTGACAGATGGGAGCTCACCCTGTCTCACGGAAGCAGGTATCTTCTCAGGTCATTGCAAAAGATGGAAGCCTCCAGAAAGATCCTTCCTACAAAATACCTATTGGTGTAAGCTACAATATTCAAGCATTCTCTTCTTCCAGTATGCCTTTCCTTGAATTTGGGGTCTCTTTTTATATGGTTTTAAGTGGGGAGAAGGTACTTTGGGAATTTCTCCTCAAAAAGGAACCCAAACTAAAGCATATCCATGTGGTTTAACCAGGTGCTTCTTTTATAAGATTCAAGAAACCAAAGGAGAATTTGGGGATGTTCTATAACCAGCAAGGGAGCACATTGCATGACCGGGTAGACATTAAAAAACAACGGAAAGAATACACAGAAGAACCATATAAAAGAGATGAAAAGGTGACAAATTCATTCAAGAAACAGCTGCATGAAGATGAAGTGGAACCTTTCTCTCTCAGCCTGATCTACCTCAAAAGTTGTTGTGAGGATTAAGAACAGAGGAGAAAGATTACATGTACTGTCTTGAAGCTCGGCAATCTATTATTTGGATTCTCTCCACCTTTAAGCAAGGCATACAGGCTCTTGGTTAGAGAACAGAAGGAAAGAGAAACATAGTAGTTTTCATATTAATTTTACATGGTGCATTACTTAAAAAACAAAAAAATGGTAGCACTATACAGGGATTAGAAATGGTGTGTCTTCGAAGAATAAAATCCAAAAGCTCTAACCTATCCTAATGTCTTCCAAATGTTTCTTCTCTTTCCTCAGTGCTTATTTTTACTGAGTGCATTTGGACACAAACAAATATGTGACAAAACAGCTTTGACAGCTGTTCAGCTGAGACATAGACTGCCTTGGAGAAGAACTCCTTCTTTGGAAGTCTTTGAGCAGAGGTTGGATACTCAGCTCTTGGGAATGTTTTGACTATGAGTTTCTGTACTGGCAAAGGATTGGACTAAGCAGCCCTTGAGAGTCCTTTCAACTTTTATGAAACTATAATCATACATTTCCATCAGAAAAGCAAAAAATGAAGCTACACCTTTATTCTCCTATTTCTTAATCACTTATTTAAATGAATTTGAAAGCTGGATCATATGTTAACATTATATATCTTCTCCCTGAATTATATGGCTAAAATCTTGCTTTGAGGGGGATACCTCAGACACGTAGCTTAATCTCTGCTATACCCCCCCCCCCCAAACATACTTTTTCAGTCATGCAGTCTCCCTTCAAAATAGCAATTTCCATGTAGTTGGTGAATGGTGGGATCAGCAAATATGTGTCCAGATAACCAAATGTGTTGGAACATATATACACAGAGACCCCCTGGGGAGATCCTGGCAGATTCTGTTTTTGTACTATGTCAACCTGTGGGGTCCCCAGGTGTTTTGACCTACAACTCCCAGAAATCCCAGCCAATTTGCCAGCTATTAGGATTTCCGGGAGCTGAAGGCCAAAACATCTGGAGGCCCACAGGTTGGGAACCACTGAGCTACAGGAAAATAGTTTGATGCCTTTCTGCAGAGCTCTCAGAAACAGCTGTGTTGAGGTAGTATGTTACTTAAATGGTGAGTTTGGGACAGGGGAAGGATTTGAGTCATTGCATGGTTGGTAAAGAATTCCAACTTCTGTGATGACAAAAGCGGGTTACAGTAGAGTATGCTGGATGTATGTTACCATAACTCATCAAGAGGATGACACCTGATATTGGAAAAGTAGGTGTGTTGGCTTAAATCCATTTTTGTCCAGAATAGAATAGACTGATTGAATTAACAGGAGGTTGATAGTTTGTTTATGTTTTTGAAAGTTCAATTAGTTCAAAATCACCTTTAGCTGAGTATTAGGGAAAAGGCGAGATAGAAAAAAATCAAATTGTCTAGGTGCTGCAGGGTATTTTCTAGAGGATATGATTCCAAAACTACATCTGGATGTTCCCTGCCAAAGGAAATCCTATGAAATAGTTGGCGTTACACAAGTCAACAGGTGACTTGAAGGAACGTGCACACAAACAGTACATGGCCAAGAAATTGTTAGAAACAGCCACCCAGAAGAATGGAATGTGTACATATGGAACTGACAACTGGAAAATACAAGGAGCTATATCTTGAGAACTTGTGCTTCTTTAAACCAATCTTGAAGAGTCCTCAACATCATCAAGGTGGGCACCTGGTAGACTTTCATAGGGAGAGCCTTCTAAAATCAAGATGCCACCCAGAAGATCTTTTTCTATAGCTACTCACTGTATCTCAGATGGCAAAGCAAAGGCTGCTAACTGAAAAGGTGCCAACCTTATTTCCAGCTCCTTTTTCTCCAAGTTGTATTGGAACAGAAGAATGCAAGAAAGATGAAATGGAATGCCAGGAAAAAATAAACTGCCCATTTAATAGAAAATAAAATGGCAACATTTCCTAAACTAAGCACAGAATGTAAGCAAAGGGTGTTATCAAAGCACCCCCAGGAAGTTTAGTGATTGACACACTCTATATAGGAATTTTCTAAAAATAAATAATTTTGGTTACATTTTCTACCACTTACTCTGTGTGAGAGAGAGGATGGTGTGGAATTGGTTGTTGCTCATCTTCTTTTTAAATAGACTAATTAATTACGCTGTTTGTGGCATATACTAATATCTCTCACATCCCACCAATAGTAAAAATTACACGAGTTGAAATCCTATAGTATCTTTGAGCTGTGTCAAAGAAAGACCAAGGAAAAGAAAATCAAAATTTTCTCATGCTGGTCTTCTTTTAGAGCAGCGGTAATACAAGTCAAGCTCCCACAATCCAGTCAGAATTATGGGAATTGTAGTCCAGCAGTAACTAGCATACCATGGGTTTGCTACCACAGTTTTAGTGTGCAAGGACAAGCATAGCTTCTGAATAAGGAGAAAGCAAACCATATAACCACAAGAGAGAAAATAAGCTCCACACTAGCTCATCCACAACTACATTTGTTTTAGGAACAGCACACCAGTCAGTTGAAATGGGCCTGGAGATGAAGAAGAAATGGAGAAATTTTTGAGACTTCTTCACTACTCCAGGACATCAGAAAAGAACATTTCCTGTCATAATACACTTTGTCAATTAAGATAACTTATATTTGCTGTGTCAAGGAGCAAAAGCATCCTTTCCTTTTACTGGCTTAATGATATAGCCCAATTAATGATGCAAGTGACAAACAGGCGCTTACCTGGCCAGTTCTTGCTCGGCTTCTATTTTAGCCCTAATTGCCTTGCGCTCCAAAGAAGTGAGGCAGATGGGTCGGCAGGGGCGACAGCATAGTATGTCACAAAGGCAGTGTGGGTACGGATGGAGAAGACAGCAACAATGTGGATGGAGATTTATATCGCAGAGGCAGCGGGCGTTTGTATCACAGCATCGATGGCAGCAGTGCATATCTATCAGTTTCATGCGCCTCTTTATTTCTCTATCTGTTCGCCTTAAATCTCGCCTCACAGCTTCCAAAGCGTGACAAAGGGTCGCCATTGGAAAGCACTAAACCATATTAGCGTACGAGTACAGCCTTTGAGAAAAGGGCACTCGTCAGGAAAAAAATTGCTCTGGCAAGCCCTGGCCAGAAGTTTTCATGACTGAGTAAGCTCCTGGTGTTATTACCTCTTTTCTGGCATGCTGTTTTATGACATCATGACTTTGTAGCTCTGTCACAATCTGGCAATTTCCACGGAAACAGTAAGCAGAGGCTAAATAGGAGAGTCACTGAGCAGAACAGGCACATTATTTCATACACAAAGAAAACAGAAAGTTCTAAGTTATCAATCTCTGTTAATGTCATGACTAGTTAACATAGTCACAACATAGCTGACATTAAATTTCTTAGTGCATAGTTTATGCTGTGTCCTCTTAGAAAGGAATCAATACAAAGTGGGTCTTCTGAAGGTATTTTGTAGGGATCAAAGATTGATTTTGGTGAACTGGTATACAACTGTATAGTAGCTGTACAAGGGCACTACTGTTTGGTAGGACTGATATATCAGCTGTATCCCAAGTGAGACACAGAACTGAAATGAGTCCTAAAACTGAGCATGATGGAAAACAGACCTCAAACAATAACTTTGGCCAAAGGCTCTATCAAGTCCCTGCACTACTTTCAGCCCAACCTACTCATAGACTGATTGAGATAGATAGAAGTTTATTCTAAGCATCTTCATGTTATAGAACTTCAAGAGTTACACAGACAGCAATGGCGTGCACAAAAGCAATATCTAGTACTTAAATGTTAGACCTTGGTTGAAGTCTAGAAAGTAACAGAGTGTATTTGTAGCTTAATAGTTATTTATTTACAGTATTTATGTTCTGCCCTTCTCACCTTGAAGGAGAATCAGGACGGATCACAAAACACATATACGGCAAACATTCAATGCTGGTTGTACAATGAGAAGAAGACAGACAACAGATAGAGGTATGTATTTAGGAATTCCCATCTTTCTGCATCTTTGGAGGCTGTGCTCAGTTCCAGCCACAGGGGGGTGCTGTCACTCCATCTCCTTGCCAAAGAGCATTTTTCTTTGTTCGTAAACTTCCTCCTTTTTCTGATCTAATGCCCTGCCTAATGTGATGCCCTGTTTTTAATATGATTTCTGTCTAATGTCTGGGTTTACTATTGTAGTTGTAAGGCATTGAATTTTTGCCATTATCTATGTGTAAACCGCTTTGAGTCCCCCTAGGGGTGAGAAAAGCGGTATATAAATACTGTAATAAATAAATAAATAAATAAGTAAATAAATAAATAAAATACCTCTCTGCTTTAATGCAGTTCCTATTTATCTACTCATATATTTGTTTTCGAATTGCTAGGTTGGCAGAAGCTGGGTTGGAAGGTCAGGCACTCACCCTGACCCAGGCATCAAACCTTCTGGTTGGCAAGATTTATTGCAGCATGGTGATTAACCTGCTGTGCTAAAGTCCGGCCCTGCTGTACTAAACCTGGCTTAAGAGGATGTTCTCGGGGATCTGCCACTATATGTATCCTTAACCTCTGGTTGTTGGCCCTGGACACATAATACTCAGTTGCAGCATTTCTAGAATAACACAAATGACAGAACGTGCTACATAATAAGACTATGAGGTGATCTCAGCCTTTGTCAAGATGGAGCCTATCAGGCTCATTAAAACATATCTTGTTTTATCGCATGTTATTTAAACACAGAAACAAAAACAATAAAACCTACAACAACCCAAAAACAATAACATTTAAGCCTAGAAGGAAAGCTGGTACCTTGAGAAGCCAAGTGGAATATCAAATATGTTTTTATTAAATCATAAAAGTCAGGTCACAAACCATTTTATACTGACAAGAATTTCCTTAAGTTTCTTTCTGGATAATGCATTTCCTTGGTAGAGAGGAGTAGAAATATTTCTTTAAACGTTCCTCGAAACTGCTAATTCAGCTTAGCATATTACATTTTCTTTTGCAACCACTGGTTTCTAATGCCTCTAATTTTCCAGGTACTATCTGTTGGACTTCATGCAAACACCTTATCAGTAATATTCAGTAATATTTTGTTTGAATAATAAGGTCTTTGCGGGTGAAAGGAGAGCATAAATTCAACAATTAAAACTCATTAAATATGTACATGTTAAAGCAGCAACATACTTTCCTGCAAGGAACACAAGGCTAGTTGCTGATCTCTAAATCACTGATTGGGCAATCTTGGATGCTAAGATTGCCAGCATAGGTTAGTACTTGAATGAAAGACTGGCAGTGAATACCAGCCAGGTGCTGTATTTCAGAGGAAGGAACTGGCAAAACCACTTCTATGTATTCCTTGTTTATGGAAACCTATGAGATTCATGGGGTTGCCAGAAGCCACCAGGCAACTTGAAGGCACATAGGCACACAAGTGATAGTTATCTCTGAGAGGGCATACAATAAACCGCCACCACAAGGCAATTATCTAGCATAACAACAATTCAATAGAAATTTCTTTGAAGATTTGTCTTACCAAGGAAAGAAACTAGGCCAGATTCTCTAGGCAAGCACACTCATCTTGAAAGCAGCCTTCCTTAGGCTGGTGACTCAAGAAATATTGGACTACAACTCCCATCAACCCCACCAGCACCATACCTATCAGGCTTTATATCTTCAAGAGAAACAGCTGCACCCCAAAAAAAAAAAGGTGGGAGAAGGGAAAAAAAACACTTTCTTTGTCTCAATTCACTGAAGTAGTGCTTGAAAACTGGAAATCATTTCAGTGGGTTGTTGTAGGTTTTTTCAGGTTATATGGCCATGTTCTAGAGGCATTCTCTCCTGACTTAAGACTGATCGAATAAGCTTGTTTTCTGCTGATCCAGAGATTAGAATGTGAACCACTGGATTCAAATGACAAGAGATTCCAATAAACATTGGGAAGGAATTATTTACTGCAATGGCCATTCAACGGGGGGCGTGGGTGGACTCTCCTCCTTTGGAGGTTTTTAAACAGAGGTTGGGTGGGCATCTTTCAGGATTGCATTAGCTGTTTAGTTTGACACGGATACATGGGACCACCCTTGTAAAATCTTCCAATTTAATGATTCTATGACTGGTGTTTTATGGACTCCATGAGCCCTACCGAACTCCTGGTTTTTTAAATTTACTTATGTCTTTCTCCGAGCATAGTTTCCAAAGCAACTTACAAAATACAAAAAGAAACTTCCATTAAAATGTGTTTCACAAAAATAAAATGAAAACAAAATCTAGTTGGGAATTCTGTCGTTTTTAATTCAGGGGGTGCTGTGGGTGAGATTGAGGGGTATATGAATTTTAAATGCCATTTTAGTATATCTATTGTATTTTAATATTGTTTTTACATTGCTACTATTGAATTGCTTTTTAACTTTTGTATTGAACCTTTTAAACTTGCCTAGTGTGGGCTGTTTGCCACCTTGAGTCGCCATGGGAAGAAAGGCAGGGTATAAAGATAATAATAACAACAATTAAATCACAGTTCTGTTAAAAGGGACATGATAAAAACAGATTTAAACTCGTTTCACTAAATGGATTATTGTTATTGTATGCCTTCAAGTTGTTTCTGACTTACGAAGACCCAAAGGTGAACCTGTCACGGGATTTTCGGAGCAAGATTTGTTCAGAGGTTTGTCTTTGCCTTCCTCTGTGGCAGACAGTGTGTAACCTACTCAAGATCACCCAATGGGGTTTCCATAGCCAATGCTTTAAATTATTATACCATGCTAGCTTTCTAAAGATTCAAATAAAAACACAGGACACCACTTTCCAACACACGGTTGCTTTATAATTTAAAGTCAAAGGCCTAACTAAACAGACATATCTCAATCTGCTACTTGAAAGAAGGGAGTGAGGTTATGATAATTGGAAATGGATATGTGTTTATGTGATTTATAATTGTTACTGTTTTTATCCTTTCATGTACTTATGTTTTATATTGATGTTTATTTATATTGTGGCATCGAATTGCTGCCTGTGTTAGCTGCTCTGAGTCCCCCCTCGGGGGTCGAGAAAGGCGGGGTAAAAATGCTGTAAATAAATAAAATAAATAAATAGCTGGGCCTCCCAAGAAAGAGAGCTTCAAGTCTCTGAGAAAGCTTTCTCTTGTGTACACTTGTGATCAAGGTAGACTTGTGATGGTGATTGGACTGAAAAAGCCTTCTTAAAACTCATGCTGGCTAGCACGTGATGGTAATGTATTTTCAAACAGACTCTGATTCCTTCCTGTGGATGGTTAAGTAGGCAGAATGTCTCCAGCACAGCCCTTATGGAGAGTATTTCCATTTCTTTTTAACGAGAAGGCTCATTATTCTTTCATTAGCCGGTAGGTGGTAGCCGAGGGCAGCAAGAAGTAATATGAGACCTGGTACCTGAAGGCATGCAGCAATAACTTGGCTGGGAGACCTTCAGTGAATAACAGGCACTGTAGGCTATAATTCAGAGGGAAGATAAGGCAAAACCACTTCTGAGTATTCCTTTTCCAAGAAATCTTATGAAGTTAATGAGGTCACATAAGTTGACAAGCAACTTGAAAACCACCCTCAAACACACAGGTGCATAGGGGAAACACCCCCTAATTGAGAGACATCCATGTCATCCTATCATCAACAGCCCTGATGAAGTTTTGCTGTCTCAGCAAAACTTTGGGGCTTCCCTGTTTGTACCTATTCAACTGAAATGTGGACTTACTCTTGTTCTACTGTCTTCTACCAGCATTATTGTATTTTCTAGTGAGTCATGTCTTTTTACAATATGGCCAAAACACAACAGCGTCTATTTAGCAATTTTGACTTCTAAGGAGAGTTCAGGCCTGATTAAGACCCATTTATTTGTCTTTTTAGAAGCCCAGGGTATCTGTAGATCTCTTCTCCAGCACCACATTCCAAATGGGTTCATTTTCTATCAGTTTTCTCCCTAACCAGTTTTCACAACCATACATAGAAATGGAAAATACAATGGCATGGGAAAACTTCCTAGCTACCCTTTGAAGTCCTAGTCTTCTTCTAAATATTTGACTGCA